GGGTGAGTTTTGATTCATTTAAAATTAGTACATACTGTGTTTTATTACTCTCTCTTCAACATCATGAGAACAGTATACAAATTCTGAGCACATGACTGCATAGAGTAATGTGGTAACAGTGGTGTTCTTAATGTTTACTGTCAGAAATTGGCTATCCATTATATGTATAAAGAAACCACATCTAACTAATGATGAAAACTACAGAAAACTGAGATGGGAATTGTGAATGTTTACACAGACCCTAAGCATTAAGTGTGCTTGCTCATCTGACCTTCTCTGCTGACATATTCCAAAACATCTTTCTCAAACTTTAGTATTTTCTTAAACTTTAGGTCATCATTTCACTTATCAACTTTTTAAACACAGAAGTTGGGTTTGAACCATGTCAATACTATGTTAGTGCATAGTACCATAGTTAGTACTATATAAGGTGTACAACTCCTGGACATGCTGAATCCCAATTATTTTCGTGGAGCAACTGCTAGGAAGCACTTACTGCTCCAGGCCCAGGCACATTATAAGAAACTACACAGGGTGAAGGGGAGGTAAAGAAGATGGGGTCCTGAGAACATAGGGCAGGAGGAAAGTCAGGTTAGCATGCTTTGCCATTGACAGCATTTCCTGGGACTGCACCAGGGACCTGGGGCTTTCTGTCACAAAGCCCACCAGGTTTTGGAGAATACCTCAGCGCCCAGACATCAGGATTCACACATCACACACACTAAGCAGGACTGTACCGTTCAGGAGCTCAGGCATGAGGATGATGTGTACATAGCTCCCTGGGACCCACTTACTGAGGGCCCACAGCTTCTAGCAGCAGAGCCAAAATCACTACCTAAAAGATCATGGGAAAATTTTGGCCTCAAAATTGGGAACAGTTGTTTCTCCTGGGAATGCTTGTTTGGATTTAAGATATCATTAATCATGAAGCAACGAACACAGTTCCCGTTCAAACTAAATAAAATCTGTTTCTATCACGCCCACCACAATGGATCTTATAGACTTCATTTGTATCCTAACAGCCCTCTCCCTTTTATTCCCTGTACCTCATTTCACTCCTACCATGCTTTCTTTTCTGTGTGCTGTGTATTGGGGTCCTTGTGGAATGGGGGATGTTGTCAACAGTCCCCGGTTTATAAAGTTAGAAATAGCCCAGTTCTATTTCACAGATGAGAAACCCCAGGTCCCAGTGGCCATCATTTCAAAGTCTGACTGCAAGGCAGGGATCCTAAAAGAAGTTTATGATTTTTAGTTAGCATACGGTTGCTTCCACGTCAAAAGACTCTTTTCTTTCCTGTTCCTAAGATGGCACCATCCAAGAGATGTCAATTAACACTCCCCACCAGAGAGAAACTCTCCAGTCTATGGCTTACTTCAGAGAGTCACAAGAAAATTCTGAGAAGTCTTATCACAAGTGAATCAACTTAATCCTCTCTAACTTATATCTGTAAAACATATCTGATTATAAATTAAAAACCTCTCTCTTCTTTCGGGGCTATGGTTGGGAGCTACATCTCTTAAGACTCCTTGGAACACACCTCAAGAGGTTCTGTGTTAAGATGAGATCCCAGGAATTGGGTGGAGGAGAAAGATGGTCACATGTCCCTTTCCCGACCTATCTGCCTCAGCTGAGTGTGCTCTTGAAGGTGGTGTCACACTGTCCCACGGACCTCAATCTCCCAGCAGTGAAGAGGGTACTGGGCCTGCTAGAAATCCTGTGCAGGCCCCTGTGGTACTCTGCACCAGGAAAGCCATGAAGAAAATGTCTAGAATTTTATTTTGTAATGATCACTATCCTTTGTTCACTGTAGACAGGAGGAAATTATAAATTATTTTTCTACAGAGGTAAACACAATCAGACAAAGGTTGCTTGTTCCCAAGTGTGTGCCTTTATGGAGGTGACTGCATGTTTATAGATGCAAAGGAAGCTTAGCAAGCTCTGGGATGGTCCAACA